GGGGCGGGCGGGAGCGCGCTTGGGGCGTTTCCCGGGCCGGTGTTAGCAGCGCCCCGTCCCGCGGTAGCTGCGAGGCCTCGGCCTCCCCTCTCGGAGCTGCCTCTGGAAGGGGCCCCGGTCGCTTGGTTGGAGGGTTTCTGGGTTCTCGGTGGGTAAGGGATGACTTGGCCGGCGGGAGCTGCGCTGAGAGGAGCAGGGAGTTGGCCTCGGTGGTCCTGGTGGTCCCTCCCCACCCGAGATACCCCCGGCTCTCTGAGCTCTGCCTGCCCGGGCGCGGGGTCGGCACCGCCGGGGCGAGCCCAGCCATCGGTAACCTTCTCTTCAGGGCCGAAGTTGATGTTTGCTTGGCTCCTGAGGTATTTCCTGTGTGGAGGGAGATACCTGTAACTTGCACTGAAATCTGGCTTCGTACAGGGCCAGAAATATTTTTGTTAAAAGTCGGGTTTGGGGTTGCGAAAATGTAAACACTTTGTCCTGTAGAGTGAGTGGTCACAAACTGGTTTTTGCTCCTGCTTTCACAACTTTTTGGGAAACAGAGATGAATGTTTCACAGTTGTGAGGAGGACAATTGTGCGTTATCCTACCTTAAATATTACGTTAAAGTGGAAGGCTAGATCGAGCTGTCACCTTCCATGAGTTTCTGTTCGGGCTTCAGATACGAGGGGACTCCAAATCAGAGCGTACTGTCAGTGTTATTTGTGGATGTTAGCCTTGGATTATTTGACTGACTTAAAGCTATGCATTAAGTTCACGAACTTATTCTCAAATTCACCTTTTTTATTCCTTCAGTTTCAGAAATGCTTCAGTGGGTAGCTTCAGTAAAGCATGAGCAAATTTCCTGTCTAGCTGAGATATTTAAGTACATGCCTTCTTGAAAATGGTCCACTGGCTCATCTACTGAAAAAAATGCCCTGCAAGAGAGGGTTTAAAATGATCATCGGTGAAAAGAGATTTATTTTTTATTTTCTTACCCTTCAGATGAATGCATACCAAAATGTGAATAGTTAAAAGTTTTAGAAATGAGACTTAAGGTTTCTTCTTTGCTTCTGCACAGCAGCACTTGCTATACTTTTCTTACTTGATGGTCTCTGTAAAAAGCGTGCAGAAATAACATACGTGAAAACATAATTTTTCACAATCTAAGTCTTGAAAAAAAGTAACCTGAAAAATTTACAGCATACCTTGTAAGCCAAAAGTAATAGCCAGTTCTAAATAGTAGAGTAAGTAAGTGGTAGGCAACTCGAAATAGTGCTGGAGCGAGCACTGGAGATAACACTAGACTTTGAGAAACAGTGCTCTAGTAAAGAAGCCCAGTCCTACTAATCCTGACCCTTCACAAGGAAATTGGGATAATGTCTCAGGCCTTTGGCTGGATTTACATTACTGTTCTGATATTGAATTATTTTATTTAAATGAGAGTTATGTTCCATATGCTCAGACACATGAAGGAAAAAACAGTTTGTACTTGGAGCTTTGTAAGAGAGAGTCAACTAGCTAAATGTAAGAGGTAGATCCAAAAGTGTCATGTTGCAAGCACAATTCAGAATTACCAGTGGACCCTGGGCTTAGTTAGTCTCTGACACTAAAATATATGAATAAACGGAATCATGCATACACTTACCTGTTTTGTTAGTGTATGGGCAAAACAGGGATAAGTGGAGAAGCTCCTGCCGTTTGCCTGTCTAACCTACCATTTTCTAGTTGTGTTGGATGCCCCTTCTAATTGTACAGGGCAGCGAGTTATCTTCACGTTCTGCCTTTCACTGTAGAATTTTGGAAACTTCTGCGGTATTGTCACTCAGAAGTTCGCACTGAAGACTTCTATGTAACTGCTGTTTGCATGGAAACTGTTTCATCTTTTCACCTCCCCAGTACTGTTTTCGTTCTGTGCTCTCTTTGCGATGGGAGGACAAGAACTGCAGTAGCGCCTAGGATGTGCACTGTGGATGGATGCAGTGGTGTATTGATTTTGGTTTCTGTTCATCTCATGATTTCCAGTAGTCGGTTTGTTTTGACTGTTGATGAGCGCTGAGCTAAAATTTTCATTAATCTTTAGTGACCATAAAATCTCATTTCTGAGTGGTGTAATTGTCTTGGAACCTCATATGTGTAAAACCACGCTTACTTCATCATCATCATCATTACTTTACCACACAGATGATAAAAAGAGAGGTGAAAGTCTATAGTGTGAAATTGGAATTACAGGTTTTAGGAGTCAGCCCACAGCTTTATTTACCAAAAGCTGAGGGAGCCAGCAGGCTTCTTCACCTTACTGTGTGCCAACTTTTTCAATCATCTCTGAATGTGTAGTGCAACCTAGGCTTTATTAGCTTGCCAGATGGGCCTGCACTAGTAGCCCCCTATACATTTTGAAAGGATTTGTTTTCATTTACTCATTTGCTGGCGTATTCTCCTTGCCAAATATGTTTATGGCAGTTACCGGGGTTTTTCATAGCCAGGAAGCTTGTACTCTGCTGTTTTACAGCTGCCAACTTTGCCACAGAATGATGCTCTTGGAATATGCTATGGTAGCTCAGGTTGGGAGCTGTAGAATTATTTTCAGTGAGGTAACTTAGTTCTTGCAGTTTGGGATGCTACAGGTAAGATTCTTGGAGAATGCAGAAAACAAATATAATAAAGGATGATTTTTTTTAGAGTTGGGGATTTTTTTGTAGTGCATGTGTCTTGTGGTTTACCGACTGAAAATACATTTCATTGTTCACATTAATTCTTTTTTTCTTCCCTGAATTTCCATTATTTGTACAACATAAAATACGGGCTTTTATTTACATCTTTGTTGTGGTTTAACTCCAGCCAGCAAAATACCACAAAGCCGCTCATATACCTCCCTCCCCCTTCTCCAGCAGAGGGGAAGAATTGGAGGAAAAAGATAAGGAAGCTCAAAAAATTGAGATAAGAACTAATTACTAATTGAATATAAAAGAAAAATATAAGAATAGTAATAAAAAATTAAAACACTAGAAAATAAAACATAGGTTAGCACTGCTTACCACCCACTGACCGATACACAGGCAGGTCCCGAGTAGTGAGAGGCAGAGCCAGAGCCTGAGAGCGATGGCAGCAGAGTCAGAGTGACCCCACGAGCAACAGCACGACTGGGAAAGCCAAATAGCACACCAGCTCACTAATGAACGAGCAAGCCAAGAAATTAGCAGAAGAGTTAAGGAGTCTGCAGAACAGTGACGGCCCCCCAGCCCACTCCCCGCTTACGCCCCGAGCATGCTGCGCTGTGGCATGGAATCGGCTGGCTGAGCTGTGTGTCCCCCACGCTGCCTGTAGCCAGGGGGTTGGGAACGAGCTGCAGTATCAGGAGCTGAGGAAGACCTTGAGTTGGTGCAGGCACTCCCCAGCACCAGTTAAAGACACCTTATCAGCACTTTTCTCAGGGTAAATCCAGGAACAGAGCTTCATACGAGCCACTGTGAAGAGAGTTAACTCTTTCCTGACTAAAACCAGCACAGTCTTCCTGAAATAGTTAAATCAGTGGCTTGTGTCATTGCCTCTGAGTGAGAAAATGCTGCAGAGAACAAGGGTACTGCTGAGTTTCACTTGAAGGGCTTTTGCCATCCTACTTGGGAAAGCAGTATCAGATCCTGCTATGTCAGAGACCACATTAAAAGGATTCATTTGAGTTAGCTTTTAAGCTTTAATTATTTGTATGGAACTGATGCCTACCACTTTTCCACGTGTAATGTTTCCTGATTCATTATAGGAAACTTCATTTTAAGCCGTGTTTAGGTGCTGAAGAAGTACTCCTTTTGCGGGAGGAGGCAGTAGTGGTATAGGAAATCTTTCAAAGTCTTCGATACTGTGGGGAATGACTATTTGTGGCATAGCTTTTGGTTTTGCATATAAAATATTTACAACCCTCCTCTGTTATTCATCGTCTTACTTGCTTTTGCAGGAAACGAGTTGATAATCTTTTTGGCTGACCAAAAGGAACCCTACTTTAAGCCCCGTGTGAAGTTACCAATGAAGTAAGTACTGATATTCAGTGGTGAAACTATGTGAGTGGCTGCTGTTCCTGCAAGTGCCTCTCTGCAGTCGGTGGGAACATGACATGAACTGCCTGTGCCGTCGTTACCTCTTTGACTGGCTTGTTCAACTTGCCCTTAGAGCTCCAGTTTCCTGATTAATCTCCTGATACGTTTTTGGTTTGATTTGTTTTGATTTTGTGAGTGAGGTGACAGAATTTGTGGAGATGAGTTTTGTCATTCGTATTGTTAACTAATAGATGTGACCTCCCACCCTTACAAAATCTCTGTTCTTTGGGTTTTGACCTCTAATTACTATTAAAAATACCCATATCTTGGAAAATTTTTGTAGTTGACTTGGTTTTTTAGGACTTTTATTTTCTGATTATAGCAAACTATCATCATAGGTTGAGTCTGTTTGGCAGGTAGTGTTAGTCTCTGTCCCAGCACACGTCTTCAGGGAAACTCTTCTAGTTGCTGTAGTTACTAACGAATTCTAGCCATGATCTGCTTTAGGAAGAGATACGGAGAATGGGCTTCTGGTATTTGTGTGTTGAGGTCTGTTCCTTTCTAACATCTAAATATGGTTGTAAAAAAGCATCAATTTTTAATAAATGTAAAACAAGGTGTGTGTTTATGTACATATATGTGTATAGTTTTAACCGTAAGAGTATTCAGGATATGTTATTGCTTATGAATAATGCTTGCTAATAGTATTTCATCTACTGAAAGCTAAATTGCTGTTACAGCTCAGTTTCATCTTCCACTGTTCTATATATTTGTATTTTTCCTTATTCTGCCCCGTCTTGGAAGGAGATGATTTGTTTAGTGCATTAGTAGTGATCTGCCTTTAATTCTTAACAGGATGATCCATGTTTCTATGTGTAAAGCTGAGTTTCTGAGTGGGAAATCAAGTAAAAAAAGGGCAGACCAATCAGTTGTAGGGAGGTGTGGTGGAGAAGATGAGAGGAGATGACATTGCATTTAAGAACATGTGGCTGGCTGACTCCTGCTGCTTAAACTGTTTCTGTCGCTTTGTGGTCTTGCTCTTGGAATGCAACCAAAAGATCCTGCTCTCCAACACACATTTTTTGCAGGCTGGTTCTACAACAAATGAAGGGTTGTAATTACGTCTAGGTGGCATTAACAAACAGGATATGGCTGAAGAATGCCTGTGAGCTGAAGTTTAGAGTTAAAAAGGTCATCCTTCCTTGGAGGGAGGCAGACTGCAGAATGCTTGATTTAAAGCTGCTTTTGCAATAGGTAAGGACTTCTAAAGAAGCCAGATGGTTGAAGGAAAATACTGTACTGGACCAACTAATAACAATAACTGGGCCAAAGAGGCGAGTCTCTGAAAGCACACGCACTTCTGGTTTCCATGCACACCTTTGTAGGATTGTTTGCATGGGGTGGTTTTGTTTGTTTTTAATTCTAGATCTCTCAGTGTTTCCATAACCAGTGTGGTTCCTGGAGATTATGACGGTGATTCACAAATGGATGTCCTCCTGACCACCCGGGCACAAAATCACGGCAGAGATGAACTTTCAGTGTTTATTTTCTGGGGGCACAACCAGACATTAGGTGAGTTCCTGAGGCTGCTTATCAATAAGATTGTTAGACTTCTTAATAATTCAGTGTATTTTCAGAAAGTTATAACTCATTTACAGCGTAGTGATTGTTTTTTACAACTAAAATGGGGATTAGCAGCTATTCAGCTTTATACTCATATGCTATCTTGCTGTTAAGTATTCAGCATTTAGTGAGAGAGAGCAAAGCTAAAACTCTTGCTTTATGTCATGCAACAGACATCACCAAACAATATTACAGTTTGACTGTAGCCTACGAACTGAAGACCATCTTCTCCTGGCCACCCTGTCATGCATGTCGGCTTCACAAGGACTATCTCAAAAGATTTATCCTTCATTTAAAATGGTGTGAAGTTTAGTGCATTAACTTTGAAAATATAGCTACACTTACCAACGGTAGAATAACACTCTTGTTTCTGTTAACCTGAAGTCTTTAAAGACAGTGACACGCTGAAGTAAGCTTGGGGAGGGAGGTTTCTAGAGTCTCTGGCACTGGAAGTTTTAATGACCTTTACAACCAAGTTCTCAGGCATCTTTCAGCAGTGTTCTAGGCATAGCTACTTCTGTCTTAGGGCAGAGTCATGGACGATGTGAACTCCTGAAGCCTCTTCTGTTTTCTGTTGGCTTTACTAGGAAAGGGTTTTGGGAGGAGTTTAGGTTTGAAGGAGGACAGAAAAACAAAAGAAGATACTCTTAAGTCAAGGAAAACTGCTGAAGGAATAACCGCAGCGGTAAAGCCCTGTGTTACAAAATAGTTATGGGTGAGGCAAGTGATGGCCACAGCTACCATTGCTTCTGGCTCTAGTCCGAGGTGAAACAAGCAACCTGGGAAAGTGCGTTGGATCACGTTTAAGAGAATAGGAGCGATCTGTAATATTGGGAAGAACATGAAGGATTTGGTTTAATTTACGCCATCTAGCTTCTGAATAAACAAGTATTGGAAGAGGCACACGTGAGCAGGTGGGTGTGTGAAAGGACTCAGAGGTTAAAAACTGGGGCAGCAGTTGGTACGTAGTCTGGCTACCGGGAAGGTGTGTGATGCCTCCTTGGGTAATGGAAGGGTGACAAGTCAGTAGGAGGGTACTGTCAAGTCAAATGTGGAAATGAGAAAGACTACAGACATTTTGGAGAGACGAAGGAGATGGGGATGATGTGGCAAGGTGTTTGGATGACAAGGGAAAGCAAAGTCGTATAGGTGATAACCTGATTAGGGCTTAAAATCCTCACTCTCCATTTAGGCAGTCTACCTTTAATCTCTATCTCAGTCACTGTATGTGATGAAGAATGTTTTTTACAGTGACAAAACATTAAGCAGAGGTCTTAGCCTGAACATTTACCAATGTACATGTCTTTCGGATTCCGTCTGTCTGTGACTGCAGTCATACGTAGAAATAGGCATCACAAAGATCTATTTAGAGTAATTTCTTGAAGAGTTGAGTGGAAAGAGAAGCAACTTCAGCATTTTAACTGTAACTCACCTTTCCTACATAAACAACTAAATGGTTTCCTGAAATTATGCCCAGTGGTAGCTGATTATTTTTTTTTTAGTTGTGAAATAATAGAAGAATTACGTCTAAGTTAAAAATGTAAATGTCATAACACCGGTAACTGAATCAAATGAATATTCTCTGTTTTCAGATCTTAACCATAAAACTATGCTAAATAGGACTTTTCATGATGAGCCCCTAGTAATGGAGTAAGTATGACCTACTGTTTTTAGAAAACAATATTTTAATGGTGACTAACAGCATCTTCAATATGTTTTAATAACAGGGTGGATTGTATAATGCCAACTGGTCTAACAAAAGATGATGAAACGTAACAGTCATCTTTACAGATCTTGTATGTTACAACATCTTGGCAATAGTAACTAAATAAGCTTTTAATTTTTTTCAATTTCAGTACTCTGTATTAGGCAGAAAAGGAGCCATTCATGTCTTGGTGAATTTTGTAAAACAAATAGCCTCCTGTCTTATCAGACTGAGCAAATATCCCTTTCACAGTGCTCTTCCCTCTGTGTGAAATGCTGAACAAGAGAGGGAAAATCAAATGCATGGCACTGTGTAAAATATTAATAGAAGCAAATTACTACTGGCAGCTCAGACAGAAGCCAAAGCTCAGAAAAGACTACACAGCTGAAAATTCTTCATTGCTTGGTGGGAGAATGCTAACCAAGTACAGGATAACTGAAGAACAGTTAATTTTGACTCCTCTGATGACTAGGTGATACTAAAATCGTTTTGCATTTTCAGCTTTAATGGAGACTTGATTCCTGACGTCTTTGGTGTCACAAGCGATTCAAGTAAGCCACAGATATTGATAGGCGGGTAAGCCAAGGGTTTGTTTATTAGCATGAATTTCAATAACTTATTCATTCTGCATCCACTTCTGCTCTTATTAAACATGAGTCTTCCGCCTCTTTAGCTGCAACTGCATAAACATGGAAATGATAGGAAGTGCGTATGTTTATCTTTAAATGCTCCATGACACTCCGTATCTAATTTTTGAAGTGTTATTTTATAGGGAAAGTAGACATTCCCTAAGAGCTGAGAAAATGAAAAGCCTGTTCTTTGATGAGAAATATGATAATTGTTTCTTGGAACAGTAGCTTGGAACAGTTTCTTGGAACACGTAGCTCCGTGTTTTTCGTGAGAAATCCAGGTGTTGGTGTCACAGCTGGTTTGGGCTTGCAGACAGTCAATACAGGTTAATTTTGAAAGAGAGAGTGTGTTGGGAAGGCTGCATTCCTATGTGGCTTTCTTGAGCTGTTGTTCAAAAGAGGTGTGCTACCACGGGAGAAATCCATGAGATGATTACCCTGTCTCTATGGCAACAGTATGTCAGCTTGCTGTAGCGCACCCACGTGGCCCTTAAGAATTGTTGAAATGAGCCTGTCACCCTCCACACCCCATCGGTGAGGTTAACACATCTGTACCTGTTGTTCCTAACGGGCTGTTTTCCCTTCCTCAGAGATGGTTCAGAGGTGATGAGGGTAAATAACACTTAAATGTGTAAACGGAAACCATACCCTTCTTGGCAATATGGTTTTGGTCATTAACCCCAACTTGTGTTTTATCACTATTCCTTTTATTTAAATTGATGGCTTATGGAACAGAGATTTCACATTCACAAGGGTGTTTCTGAGCACCTTGCAATGATTATATATTGAAAAATCTTATGGGCTTTTGAAGCTAAGGAGAAATGGGAGAGATCTGTTTCATTTTGTTAATGAAAGGCTTTCATTAGCAATAGGATTCAAAAACTTATTCATTACAGCTCAAAATAAGACTGAGTGCTATAGGTAGCAGCATAAGCAATGCCTTGTCATCTGCTTGGAAAAGCATTTTTCTATTTCTATCTGAAATGCTTTGAAATGTATACTGGAGCTGTATAACTAACTTTCTTGGCTATCTTCAAAACCGAATACACAAAGAAATGATGAAATATCTGCTATAGTTTTTTTCTAAGATTATGTGGTTGTTCTTAACCTTCGTAAGACTTAGCTATGATCTCTGGGAAGTAATCGGAAGCTTATGTGTTTTTGTCTTACCATAAAATGACTCACAGAAGATAAGGAATTCAGTAATACCTATGTAATGTCACTGAAATAAACAGAGTAATTCCAGGCAGTAATATCACTGTCCTGCTGCTGTGTAGTGCGTATTGAGACTTCTTTGAGTATAATAGCTGAGGGTTCTGAAAGTGATAGATCTGGTCTTGATTCGACCACAATGACTCTTGATTTGTTAGATTTCAGTGTGCTGCTAATAGGGAGGTTTGCTGGTAGTTCAGTCATTTCTAGAACAGAAACTAGCAGGACATGTATGTTTATAAATCATTAAAGTATTACCTACTTGGGAATTGACATAATTAGCCATAGTCCATCATAATGTGAGAGTTGAATTCTTGTGTTGAATTTTTATAAGTGACAGAGAAGGAAGTCCGTTTACATGCAGGAGGCACGAGCTGCTTTAACAGCATGTCATGATGTCTGGTTTTGCTCATCTTCATTAATCCTAAAGTAGGTTTCAGAGGTGCTGCTAGTAAACCTGCCTGAGGAAACCAGGGAGGACAGCAGTCAGTGTCCCAAGGTTTACAGTTGAAGTCTGGGCATTAAATTCCACTTTGTGGGTAGTGATGATTTTCTGTCTACAAAAAAAAATTGCTCTAGAAAGTTAATAAAATGCAACTGAAGCCCCTGTGCTATGAATCATCCTTTGCAGAACCTTTCAAGCAATTACCTAGTTACTTAGTATTTTGTAAGCTAAGTAGTCATTTTAGCGTAGCATTAGGAGAACATGCTTTCTGTTCCATCTTAAAGTTTCACTTCTTTTTAAAGGCATATTACCATGATTAACAATCCCTATGTGTTGGTGAAATTTGCTGCTTTTCATTCTTGTCTGTAGGAACTTATCGTGGCACGCTGCCTTGGAAACTCAGAGTAAAATGTATATACCACACTCTCACGCGTTTATAGATTTAAATAACGACTTCACTGCCGGTAAGTCATAGAGGTGTTCAAGACATTCCTGAAAATATTTATCACTAAGTATACAATGTAATCTGTTGCTATTTCCTTCTAATATTTTACTAAATTTCATCAGTGGTTGTAACGAGTAGGTTCTGGGATGCTGTGTTCAGTGATTACATGACTGCTAATTCTGATTGGGTTTTTTATTTTTAATTATTGTAATAGCTACGATTTCCAGATTCTGGGTTTTAAAAAGTAACTGCCAAAATGCATACCCTAATAATGTTTTCTGTTTCTTGATGATAATCAGAACTAATGCTTGTTCTGAGCAATTGTGTGTTCACCTGTGTTTCCTGCTCTTTGGGATGCTGTACCCTAGTATTCAGTTAGCCACTGAATCAGAAGCAGGGCTGCCTTTTTTATTCGTCTTGAGCCTGAAAATAGTTTTATGGTTCATTCTGAAGAATGTTTTCAAGACTGGACTTAATTTGTTTCTTGAAGATTTCAGTATGACTTCATTTTTTTTGTTGTCGTAAATTCTGTCACTGATAGGGAAAATAGCATGTGAGACAATTCTCACATGAACAATCCTACAACCTATTTATAATTTAGTGTTCACAAGCAAATACTGGAGACTTTTCCTTCGGTAGACAAACTTTTGGTGGTGGTGGCTTTTTTGTTTGGGGTTTTTCTGTGAAATACGTAATGCAATATAGCCTTTGATTACTGCAATTAATCTATTTATCACTTAACGTACACGGTTCTTACTTCCAAGCACATTTAAATATTGTGCTAAACTCAATTTCTTCGCACAATAAATGAATTCTGAAAATCTTTATCTTCTGATGGATGTGCAGTGTACATCAATTCATACATGGCAATTTTGGAAAGGCAGATTATTTATTTTCCTATTTAGTAGCAGAGGAATGAGAGGCGAAAGAGTCCATAAATTTAATTAAGATACTTAGAAATGTTGGGGATTAAGTTAATTGCTTTAGTGCGTAGTCAAACCTTAATATTCAGTTCTGGCACATTCCTGCATGAAGCTGTCAAGTGGAAATTCCAACTGGAAAATTAAATACACGGTTGCTTACCATAATCAATGTCATGTAATAACCAATTCTAGCACACTTAGTTTTATAACTCTTATGGAATTCTCTTTGTGGCATGGCCAGCGGAGATGAGCATTCCAGGTAGCATTTTTAGGGAAATCTATTGGAATCCAAACTCACAAGTAGGTAAAGGTAGGAAGTCTAAGCTGCTTCCATAGATCAATCACAGATTGATCAATTTTTGCAAGAGTGTCTTTTTGACAGCTAACAGACTGAAGAGTGTCCAGGGAATTCCCGTTAGTGCTAGGGATATATGGAAGTTCCTTGATTAAACTGAAATGAAAGTCAGGGTCTTTGTGCGGGTAGTGCCGGGAGCTTTTATAGGTTCACATCTATATTCATATCTCAGGATATGAGCAGAAGCTTCTGTGTAGCACCCCCCATAGAAAGATCCTGACTTTGATTTGCTTGTAACAGCCAGGATGTAACACCTCAGGCTGAAATAAGTGTTATGTTACAGCAACTGGAGGAATATTTCAAGGAAAATAATTCATTCTGAGAAGAAAACTGGAGAAAATCCTACCATAGAAGGATTGTCTTTACAATGATTTTTTTGCTTCTAAGGTGGGAATTGCAAACTGGGTTTTTTGCTGTCCCTATGACAATTGGACCAACCAGCTGCTGAAACAATACTGCCTTATTGGTGATACTTACTGTTTCGTGACTGACATGTTATTCCAAGACTGCCTGCTGCCCAGATGGAAAGTCAGCAGTCATCTAGTCCTGCCCGCACGTTTGCGGCAGTTCCCTCGTGTCAGCTGTAGCAACTGCTCGGGAGCCGGGCTGGGGTGGGAACATGGCTCTCTTGAGTTATTAAGCTGATCCAACTCGCCATGCCGCTTTGGGATTGCCAGAGCTGGTGCGAGCACGGAGAGGAGGCTGACTCCCGTTTCAGTAGCAGCAGTTGCAGCCTGCCTTTAACCAAGCATGAAATTGCACCTCAAGTCTCATTGTGCCTCTTCCAAAAAATACCTGTTTAGTGTTCTCACCATGTCTCCTTTAATCTGTGTTACTCTGTAGAGCTGGGCGAGGGACTTGCAGAGCTAGTCAGCAGACGGAATTTGCAGAAAAGCAAGGCAAACCAAATCCAGCCTGTATGGAACTAGGCAGTCCTGGTAGTACTGCGATTCCAAGCACAGCCTGCCAGACAGCGCCAAAATAAGGGGCTGATATGGCCAACGCCGTTCCTGTGCGTTTAGTGCTGTTCCTTGTTGGCGCAGCAGCCTCCCTACACCAGCAGAGAGGGGTGCGCTTCACGCCGGGTTATTTATCAGAGGGGCCAGTGAGTCTGTTACTGGTTGGTTCAGGTTGAGCTGGTGAGGGGAGAGGATTTCTGTGACTCGGCCTGCACGATCGTTCTTGCAATGGAAAAAAACCTCGTTAAAAACAGGGCCTGGTACACATTAAAATCCTGTTAATTAGGGGTGAGGCCTTTAACAAGGATGCAGGGGAATAGTCTGCCTGCTGAAATCCTGTTGTCTGAAACGTGATCGTGACATTTGATGCTGCTGTGGTCCCTATTGACTGAAAAAATCAGAGTATTTACTCACAGGCAATGGTACTGTTCATGAATATGAAGATACAGTTGTTACCTAAAATAGATGTATAGAGTTTTGTGTACAAATAAACCCCAAATCTCCAAAATACACCATCTTTACTTTTTTGGGGGAGTTTTCGGGGGTTTTGGGGTTTTTTTTTTAGGACCCTTTTCTAATATTCTGTTATGTTTTGGGTCTCTTTGTAGTCTGTAACAGATGCAGCCAATTCAGTGATTTTTAGCTGGGCTATTTTTGGCAACTCTGTCATTGTAAACAGCTTATGAGACTTAAAGCATGCTTGACATTTAAAAAAAAAAACAAACCACACACACACAAAAAGAAAAAAAAGACAAAAATCCTCTCTGACCTGGGAATCCTTTTGGTAGTCTGTTGCCTAACCTGTTTGCAACCTGCCAGTATTAAACCCTCAAAGCAGAGCTTTTCATTGGCAAGCTCTTCCTGCTCTGGGTAAAATGAAGTTGAATTGTTTTTCATTATATGAGAACGTGTTCATAAAGATGTTTTTAATCCCTAACAATGCTTCATGAAAGGCTAACTGTGTAGGGATTTTTATAATCCAAAAATCCACTAACCAGAACAAAGATAAGACTAATCTCTCTTGGTGAGATATAAACTGAGCTGTTCCAGATAGTGCTGATGCTGCTGCTGTTTTTAAATGAAACATCGTCATGTAGAAATCTCAGTTTCTTATCATTTTTAATTTGGTAAGTAATTTTGAGTTAGGCAAAAATTTTTACTCATGCAAAAATTTGCAGAGTAGAAGTTTTACCGAAGGGGCTATGTGTGTGCTTCACGGATAAAGCAAATACAAAAGACACTTGGCAATTTGTATGTGTATTAAGCATGTGTTGCTCCAGGGAGGACTGAGCTGAGATTGCCTGGGATTGGAAGGGGTGTCTGGAAATGGTCTAGTCAATTTACCTACCATCAGTGTCACTGTGCCTGCACTGAGATACACTGAAAGATGAGGAAAAAATGTGGTGACCCACGTTAGAATAGGGCTGCTGGGTGGCTAGTCATACATACTCACATGTGTCATGAGTTCTTTTTAACAGCTATCTGAAGAAAAAAATCTCAAAGCTAATAATACCAGGCTAATAATCTGTCTGAGCAGTGTATCTTCAGGTGTATTTTATAGAGCATGACAGTTCAGGGGTGTGTTTCCAAAGCCGGCTGCTCAAGTAAGAGACCAGTTTTAAAAATGCTATATTCTCAAACTGAAAGATTTACATCACATGACTTAGGTATTTGAACAGGGTTGAAATAATTCGATTTGCAGTGAAGGAGGTTAAAAGTAACTTCTCATTGCATTAATCCACTGAGTTCAAAGTAAGCAGGAACTCGGCTTGATCCATGTCTGAAAAAGACTATGGACAAAAAGTGTTGTAGGTGGAAACTGGGGCCGAGATGGGTAAACGGCCTTGATAAGGACCACCCAGAAGTGACGAGTTGGGTACCAATACAGATCATCTGTTTAAAGCTAGACAGACAAACGTACTTTTTTCTTTTTTTTTTTTTTATGCCATCATTGATTTGTATCACGGTCGGTGTTTTCAGATCAACTTCAGCGTGGTCCAGAGCAGTTAAATTTCCCATGGCTCACAGGTGAACACTGGTAAGGCTATCTTAAGGTCTCATAGGTGTATCAGGAGTGCTTTATCTGAAGTTGAGATTGGTATGTTAGCAATTATTTTGCTCTATGTCTTCTTAATTAGTTAACTTGATTGTTTGTTTCTAATTAACACATCTTAAAATGTCAGATATTCAGTTAGGTCTAATGCTGTCTTTCTAAGCCAAAATTTTAGCCATTTTGGCTTAGATTGGGGGCAGGGAATTATTATGAACAATAAATTTGTACACACTTAGTTAGAAGTCTTCTACCAAGAAATCAGGCCACGGCCATGCAGATATTTTTAAAATGTTCCAAGGTACGAGACGAATTGGCTTGGACTGTAACTTCATACTGTACATCTGTCAGTGTAGCCTTGCGTGCTACGGGAAACAGCCAGTGTATTAACGACTCTCTGCCTCGAGTTGGGAAATACTGCTCTTGCAACCTGTCTGGTGTCGAACCTCGCACATGGTGTGCATAATGGCAGTTATTTCTGGAAATGCTTATATAAAATGAAGGAAAAAACGTAAATCTAATTTGGGGAAAACTAAAGTGGAAGAATCGTTAGTCAGAAACAGCTTGCTGTAAGCTAATTGCTAGTCTCTCTACTGATTTCTGATGGTTAATTTTCTTACATTGTTTTGCTTTGGGAAACGAGAAACCTAATGTACCAGAACACTTACAGTATGTTTTCTTTTTGAATCCCAGTTTTTAGTTTAAATGCATAAATATAGACAGTTTTTTTTC